CTTAAAAATAATAATAAAAAAAAAAACAAAAAGCAAAATTGTTCAAGTGTGTCTTCAATTAACTTTTTTTTTTATATCAACATATATAATGACATTTAAATTATTATATTTTAGCCATTTGGGGTCTGAGTTGACTCATAATGGGAGAGGGACTTAGGAAGTCTACCATTGATCAAAGACTCACAAATTTTAATACTTTGAAGTTTGAATGGAAAAATGGGAGAGTTGGTTAATAGAAAATCCAGTGTTCTCTTTTTTCTTTTTAATCTTCCCAAAAAAATAATGACAAAAAAAAACTTGTTCATTTTCAATTTATTTGTTTAACTTTGTAAATCTTTTTAACGTAGTTTGATGGGTTTTTTCTTTCTATTGTTTAAAGAATTAGTTTGTTTATTAACGATATTTTTCATTATAGTTTACTTTATTTCAAATGAAAATAAACTTTTTATTTTTGTAGGATTTCAAAAGAAATTTGAAGAAGTGTTAGAAAAAAGACAAAGAACTGCCTAAAAAATAAAATCTGATGAAATGGGGCCTAACCAAATAGCTTTCAAAAGTTTATTCTTTGTTCTTGAGTTTGACTATTTTTTTCTTTAATCTGAAACCATAACTTTATTTTTTAAAACCATAAGATTTGAAAATAAAAAAAAGACAAATAACTTCACCTAAACCATCATAAAAAAAAAAACAAACTCGAAGTCACATTATCTATTATTTGTTAAAAATAAAATAACGATGAGGACCAAAATGATTATTTTCTAAGGGATCAAAATAGACATTTTTAATGTTTATGGATCATGGACGACAAAGTATAAAATTTAAACACGATAATAAATATTTTGTAAATTCAAGGACCAACTGACCTCGATTTTCCGTCTTTTTTTTTTCTTTCTTTTTTCACTACCAACCTAGCCTAATCTCATATCATTAATCCAATGATGGGTCTCTTTTTTTTATGTAAATATTTTGGGAAAGAAACCTATGATTGATTGCAAAAGGTAGTGTAAAAAGAGAAGCTTCGTTGGACTAAAAGAAACCTAAATTTTTCAAACAAAATGAAGTGAGAAAAACGATGGAAATTAGAAGGAAACTACACATGAGAAAGTGAGATAGGGATGTTTGTTGGACCACAAAGAGAGAGAAGAATTTATTTAATTAATTAATTAAGTGAAATTTGAAAGGCATTTAATTTTAATAATTATGCCAATTTGATAATAACTTTAAATTTTAAAAGAAAGTATTCTAAACTTTTAACCAAATTTTAAAATCTTAAAGAATGGTGAGATTTGTTTGAGTGGACATAATACAAATTGTTATACATACTTTTTTTTTAGAGTATTAAGTTAAAAGTAAAGGTCAAAAATGTAATTTGCTAAAATAGACACTAATGACTCATCAAATATATGCTATTTTCCATTATAAAATCATTTGGAATTATATTTTTCCATTCTCATAGTTTCATTACTTAAAAACAACTATATTTTAAATATTTTATTTTCATATTTAAGAACATTCTTATTTTCTATTTTCTAATATTTAAATATAAATTTATATATATCAAACATTTTCTAGAAACTAAAATTATATTTTATATTCTCGAATTTTTGGTTTCATGGGATCAAATGATGTTGACAAAACAAATGAAAATAGAAAGCACACTACTCCACTTTATTCGCCACGTCCCTATTCTTATGAATAACTCCAAATCCAATTTATGTACATAAACATAGCTCAGGAATTAAAAAATTTGTTACTTTATCTAC